CTTGATTGTGTGCGTCACATAGTAAAACTAGATTAATAACCGGAATAAGAACACATAAAGTTTATAAAAGAACATATCATGATTAGTAGAGGCCGATCTTTGATTGAGCAAGCGATGGTGCTCATTTCAGGACCTTCCCCTCTCGTACCTAAGTTTCCGAGCCGACGCAACTTTGGTGATGACGGACACATGGCCTTTGGCACGAGTCAGGGTTTCCTAAATTTGCCAAAAACAAAATATTTATGTGGCGACTCTGTAATCTGGCAAAATAGTCCAGTTTTGGCATTATTTGATCTAAAATCAATTTTCCAAAATGATTTGCCGGATTGGACTCTTTGGTGTTTATCAGTTTAACGTTGCACTTATGAGATTAGATTCAGAACCACGGGTAGAGTCCGAACTGTGAGGGCCTTTCTTTTCAAACCCTTTTCCGAAAGGCGGGGGCGCGGAAAAAGGCGAGCCCACAACATTATGTAGTAAAACTACAAGATTATACAGTTTTAATAGGAAATTTTCAAAAACCCTCTCAACATTCCAAAAAATAAAACCGACCAACTCCACACACATACATACACACACACACACACACACACAAAGAGTTACAAAAATACTTCACTAACTAAAAACCACAGTTTTAATAAGAAATTTTCAAAAACCTTATCAACATTCCAAAAAATAAAACCAACCAACTCCACAAAATAAAAAAATAAAAAAAAAGGTTACAAAAATACTTCAATAATTAAAAATCACATCGAAAAATAAAAAGAATGCAACCAACTTTATTTATTACTTCCATAATACCAAGTATCATATTTTATAATAATTTCTCAACTTTATATACAAATCCAAAAAATAGATTATGGCCTCAAATAGCAGCCTTGCACGTCATCTTATTGTGATTCTCATATTTCAAGTACCTCCCACACTTGATTTACTTCACATTCTTACCCCTAGAAGGTATCATTTTCTTTTTGTTCTACCCAAGTTACTTCTTCGTTATAGGAGGTCTGATAATCGACCTACAGGCACCATCAAAGTCAAATCTCCCACTTGAAGGCACTGGATAAAAACATTCTTTGTATGACTCTTTAAAACAATCCACCTGAAAAAAATGATCAATGGAATCATACACATCTCTACCACTACTACGCAAAGTATGCACAACATGACAACAAGGAAAACCATTCAGTTGCCATTCATGGCAAGAACAAGTTCGTCTACGAAAGAAATAGAAGAATGAACCTCAAACACAATATCACTAGCACAATCACATCCCAAGACTTAGTTATCTTCAAAGAGTCCACCAACTTCTTTTCTATAACTGGACACAATTCGGTAGTCCATCTTTTAGATTCAGCTCTTTTATTGGACAATTGAGTTATGATTTGAACCCTAATTATGTCAACCATACAAGTAATAGGCAATTCACAAGCCTCACTAATCTAATTATTATAAGACTCAGCAGCATTAGATGACATCTCACCATATCGTTTCCCTCTAAAAAATTCATTCGCCCACTTATTAATTTATAAACCATCCAACATACTATCAACTCTACCATTCTCGACAATACGCCTCAATTTCTTCATATAAAGTTGGAAAGAAGCAACAGTTGGCGCATAAGCACATTTAACCAATATTTTCATCAAAGTCAGCTTATAGTTAGTATGAAGTCCTACCAATTTGTCAATCGAATTTCTCTTGAAATGGTTCAAGCAATATGCATGATGTGCATTAGAAAAAATCACCGCAAGAGCATCTCGCAATCCATGTTGACGGTCGAACACAAAGGTCAATCTTTGACCCAAACTAATAGCCTTCAACAACTAACTTAAAAACCACATCCAATTATCTTGATTTTCAGCATCAACAATCGCAAAAACCAAAGGAAATAGACTTGAAAAAAAAAAGCATGAAACTGCAAAAATTAGCAATCTCACCATACAATAACAGAAACCAAAATCCACAAACTACCAAAACATACTAAGAAACCAAAACTATACTAACTGTAAATAAATATGTACCTTTATTACCATCACCATCATTTGATGTTGCTGCAAGTAAATGTCACTTGTAACGCCTCTTCAAGAATGTACCATCAACAAGCAACAAAGGAGAACAAAATTGAAATCCATACAAGCATCCATGAAATGCCACAACCAACCTCTGAAAACACCCACTACCTTCATCCACATCTAATTTAAACATACTTCCGGAATTCGTTCTCATACTCGTCTCAAGATATCATCGAAGTTGGTCAAAAGAAGATGAAAATCACCAAACAATCCACCTCTTGCCTTATCAACTCTTAACCATGCAACCAGATAAGAAACATCTATACCATATTGCTTCTTTAACTTTTGTTTTAACTTTAATAGGACGAGTCAACGGATTGTCACTAATGTCATTATGCATAATATCAGAGACAAATCTAGAACCAACCATTTTGTTACAAGATCTGTGAGCAACAACCCCATAAGTATGCACATTATCCAACTTCATAATAAAAAAAAAATACCAGAATTCATCAACACCTTTCCATGCACAAACTAATTACAACCCGCAAATGACTTCATCATACATTCAACAATTACTCTTGTTGTATCATTTTTCAAATAATTCACTGCAAAGCTACACTTAATTGCATACTTAGCCAATGCAATCTGGAATGCCAGCACTTCACCATCAAATTCTTGACCAACATTGTAAATAATTTTCTTTCAACTAGCAAACAACAAAACTCTCTCTTGTTGTAGATAAAAACTGGCCAACAAACCACCAAAATCATCACAATCATTAACTAAAGAACTCTCACAAACTTCATAATCAATCCTAGAAGAATTATCATCAACTTCCACAATTCTCCTATCACCCACAACAACATCAGGAATATGAGAACTACCAAAAGCTACCATTGACAACATATTCCCCAAATCATCATCACTTTCAACGGCACAATTAGAATATCCAGAAATAGAGAAAAAAATAAGCAAAAGTTACCAACACCCGACTCCTTGAACTTTGCACATATTTTCTCAATAACTTTATCATAACTACATCTCTTACTAATCTTAATAACAGCATAAGACTTATTGTATTTGCACATTAACATGAAACACCCCTCCATATTACAAATCATAAACCAGTAAACAATTGATCACAGAGTCCAAACTGCAAAATTATACAGTTACAACATATCAAAATCAAAACTTCAGAATTCAAATTTTTAAACTACAAATTCAAAGCATATTACACTATACAACAAAAGAAATAAAATAAATAAAAAAAAAATCTAAATCATTACACTATATCACATAAAAAAATCACAAAATAAGTATAAAATAAACAACATTTATCACAAAACAAAGAACTACAACAAAATTACGAACACAAACCAGAGATCACGTAAATTTGCTGATCTATATATATACATACATATATGTATCAAGAGAGAGAGAGAGAGAGAGTACACAGAGATCACGTAAGCACAGAGATTACGTACCACAAAGATCCGTAAACATAGAGAGATCGCAAAACACACACAGAGAGATCAAGATTGCACACAAAGATCGAGATCGCACAAAGAGATCGAGCTCACAGAGAAAGACACCGAGATCAGAGACAAAACCGACCTTGTAGAGGCCAAATCCACAGTTTCCCATCTAAAATTTGATTTTCCACGTATATGTATATATATATATCTCAAATCAAAAAGGTAAAAAAGTCATTTACAAAAATAAGAATGTAAAAACAGGACCTTCGAGTACAAGACCTACAAAACTGTGGACCTATTGATTTATCAAAAATATAGTGGGATTAGAAGGGAAATAGATCTCCTACATAGGATTATATAGTAATTTTTCCTAAAATAAAATAGGAAACAAAAAAATAAAAATAAAAATCAACCCATTTAGATATGAAGCCCATCTTCAAGCCACCTAAGTTTGCCAAATATTGGGTGGTGTTTCGTTGACAATTTATTGTTTAGTTTATAAAAAAATTAAATATGTCCCTATGTTTATTTTGAGTAAAAATAAAAATAAAAAACATGTTTGATACACAAATAATTTAAAATTTTATTTTGAAGATCAGTGAAATGAGGGGTAGTTATAGGAGATGATTATTGACGATTGGAGATGGTGGCCAAAGATGATTGTAGACTGCGAGACATAGTGGCCGAAAGTACTTACCACTAATGAGAGGCGATTGGCAGTAACTGTGATGGTTGTTGACCAAGAGAAGTAGTGGCTGAAAATGATTGCCGATAGTCAAAGATAAGGATGTAAGAAAAATCGAAAAAATCGACCAAACCGATTGAACTAGACTGAATCGACCATATTTGGTCTATTTTTTAAGAAGAATTGGTCTGTTCAATTTTTTTATTTGATTTTTTTCAGTTCAGTACCTGTTCAAGCACCTTGCACATTAAACTAAATCGAAACTGATCATTGCAACATATATTATATTTTTAATATAATTATATTAATAAGCACAATAAATTATTAATCGCAATTAATTAACCTTATCATCTCTAAGTTAGTAAACTTTTATTACATGTAATTTTAATTCTAACTCACTATTCTTGAAATCTTAGGTGTCGTTTGGTAATACTTACGTTTTCAGTTTTCTGTTTATATTTACAAAAATTTTAAAAACTCAAATAAAAACTTATTTGGTAAATTTTTAATTTATAAATCAGTAGTCTTAGGGTTGGTTTGAGATGTCCTAAAAAAGTGCACTTTTTGACTTATTGGTGGGTTTGGGTTGGGTTTGATGTGATGTGTTAGAGAGGTGATGTGATTTAAATAAGATGATGTGACTTAAATAAGATAGTGACTTTTTGACTTTTTGACTTATTTAGTACATGTCAAAGCGTTTAAAAAAATAAATAAATATGAAAATGATAAACAAATAGAATTTTTAGATTGAAATTTTATTCAAAATGATGTTGACAAGGTCATAGTTAAGAAGTTTTTTTCACAATTTTTTCTCTTTCTTTAGGCTTTGTTAAAATTTGTAATTATTTGGGTGTTAGGTTAATAATGCTGGAACATTACTAGTTAAAGAAGCCACAGAAATCTCTGCTGAAGATTACAGCTTTATAATGGGTACCAATTTTGAAGCCTCTCACCATTTAAGTCAACTTGCACACCCACTCTTGAAGGCATCAGGAAGAGGAAGCATCGTGTTTAATTCTTCTGCTGCTGGTGTGGTTGGTGTATCACGACTTTCTATCTATGCTGCATCTAAAGGTACATACATTTCTCCACCACACATATATTATATATATAACAACATTGCGAAATAGTTTTTTTACTTATACCGAAATCAATTATAGAATCTGACATAACTGTTACATAGATTTGAGACATACACAAAGATAAATCTCACCTCTTGCAAAAGAATTGTATCTAATTTTGTTGTCGATTTCTGATTCCTAAATTTTTTTGTATTCAGAAGAGGCAAACAAGAAGAATATTTGATATTTTTTCTCTTTTTTTTTTTCCTGCATTTTTTTTTCGTTGTTTTTGCCTTTTGTAGGGGCAATGAATCAAGTCACAAGAAACATGGCTTGTGAGTGGGCAAAGGACAACATTCGAGTTAACTCAGTTGCGCCAGCTATCATCAAAACCTCACTTATTGATAAACCGATGGTACAAACGTTCTCTAACCTTTCACTATCAAGTAATTTTAAGTTTTCATCACCTCGTTTGACAAGTACCTTTTTTTTACAACTTTGTAAAGAAAAATTTATGAAAAAAAAAACTCAACAAAAAAGTTTGGTAATATGATTATTGTAAATAAATTTATTTTCATAAATATTTTTTTTAAAGTAAAAATTACACATTGAGTCAACTCATTATGTTTGAAAATTTCTATTTATATATCATTAATTGCTATGTAATTAGCCTATGACAGCGTCTTCAAAGTTCAACCCATATAATCATTGATTATTGCCCACAAACATTCTACTCCTTTTCAATACTTTTTCTTTTTTTTCTTTTCTTTTTTTCAGAAAATTGAGCTTAGTTTTTAGAAAATTGAGTTTTTTGTTTTTTATTCTTGTTTTTATTCAAAAATTTTAATATTTTAAGAATTTTTTTAGATACACTTAAAAAGTATAATATTTATAATTTTTTTTTAAAAAAAATCCATCATATACAAAAAATACAAAAAAATAAATATATTTTTGTATTTTTTTGCATTTATTGAATTTGTAAAATATTTTTTCACAAATATTTTATTGTTTAGATGCATATAAGTTATGTGCATTTAAAAATTAAAAAATTTACTTCAAATATTACAAAAAATTTACATAAAAAAAACACATAAAAATTAAAAAATTCAATTTTTAGAAAAAAATCAAAACCAAACAAGGTATTGTCATAGATGCCTTTTAAGATTTTTAATATATTTTGCCCATTTGATAACATCAATTTCTTTACAATTAATATCATAGACCAATAAAAAATAAAAATAACATTAATGTTGTCAAATACTATCTTTTATGATTAAGGGCAAATTATGTCGGTAATCCCTATATTTTGGTCCTTATATCATTTCAGTTCATGCAATTTTAATTTGCTCAATTTTGATCATGAATTTATAATTTTATTTTAATTTCCAATTGATCATAATTATTAACATTTTTAATGAAAAATAAGCACATAAGTGACAAGCGGCATGCTTTTAAGGTACTATTATAAACTTGCTCAAATTAGTTAGTTAACTTTAACTGATTTAGTGATCATTTTTCTTCAAAAACACTAATGAAATTATTAATTAGACCAAATTGACACAAAATATAAAATTTAAGGATCAGAATTGAACTAATTGAGAGTCTAGGGATTGAAATAATACAAGAAGTTAAATGTGAATATTATCAGTATAATGTATCCTAAAATTAGGGTTGGTTTGGGATGTCCTAAAAAAGTGCACTTTTTGACTTATTGGTGGGTTTGGGTTGGGTTTGATGTGATGTGTTAGAGAGGTGATGTGATTTAAATAAGATGATGTGACTTAAATAAGATAGTGACTTTTTGACTTTTTGACTTATTTAGTACATGTCAAACTAGCCCTAAATATATTTTGTCCACTTTATCCAAATTGTGACTTACCCTAGGATTAAATATATGGAAAAAGCCTCCGACCCCCAGTGAGAGGTACTAGGGGTCGCGTGTGATTGGTGCAAAAAAAAAAACTATTATTTTATTTATTTATTTTTTTCAACTAATAAGGAGACGACACCTTACTGGGAGTTGTCAGTAGGGGTCGCCCCACTGAGAATCGGTAGCACGGCTCTAAATATATTTTGTCCACCTCATCCAAATTTTGACATTAATTTCTTATTTTTCATTTATAATTGTTGATCTCTCACCTCACATTTCTTTGAGCTATGGTTGCATGGACTGACAAAAATATTCCCAAAAAAATGACACGTGTGTGACATAACTGTTACATAGTACGATTTGACTCGATTTGATATGTTACGATTGAAAAGTAAATTGAAACACAAAATTTGATGTAAAGTAC